TTCCGAGTTACGATCGATTTAGTTGCAAAAATCATCAATTCTCGACATTTCGGTGATTTACACTTCTTAATCAAAAATTTATTACAACCAAGCTGTATCTGGTTATGGTTGTTGTTGGTTGAGTTTATTATTATAAATAATTTACATATAAAATACTTCTCTCCATCGCCTTTAGTATCTGAGTTACTTTCGATATAGTTGCGAAAATCATCAATTCTTGATATTTCGGTGATTTACAATTTTTAATCAAAAATTGATTACAAGTACGCTGGGACTGGTTATGTTTTGTGTTAGTTTGGTTCATTAGTAACAATTTATATTCGTCGCACTTCTCTCCATCGCCGTTAATTTCAGAGTTACGATCGATTTAGTTGCGAATATCATCAATTCTTGACATTTCAGTGATTTACACTTCTTAATCAAAAATTGATTACAAGTACGCTGGGACTGGTTATGTTTTGTGTTAGTTTGGTTCATTAGTAACAATTTATATTCGTCGCACTTCTCTCCATCGCCGTTAATTTCAGAGTTACGATCGATTTAGTTGCTAATATCATCAATTTTTGACATTTCGATAATTTACACTTCTTAATCAAAATTTTATTACAACCGAGCTGGTTCTGGTTATGTTTTATGTTAGTTGGTTTCATTATAAACAATTCATATGCAAAACATTTCTCTCCATCGCCATTAGTTTCAGAGTTGCGATCCATTTAGTTGCAAAAATCACCAATCTTTGACATTTCGGTGATTTACACTTCTTAAGCAAAAATTGATTACAACTAAGCTGGGTCTGGTTATCTATTATGTTAGCTTGGTTCATTATTAACAATTTACATGCAAAACATTTCTGTCCAACGCCTTTAGTTTCTGAGTTACGATCGATTTAGTTCTAAAAATCATCTATTCTTGACATTTCGGTGATTTACGCTTCTTCATCAAAAATTGATTACAATTAAGTGGGATTTGGTTATGTTTTATGTTAGTTAGATTCATTTTAAACAATTTACATGCAAAATTTGTCTCCATCGTCTTTAGCTTCTGAGTTACGATCGATTTAGTTGCGAAAATCATTAATATTTGACATTTTGTTGATTTACACTTCTTAATCAAAAATTGATTATAACCAAGGTAGATCTGGTGATATTTTATGTTAGCTTGGTTCATTACAAACAATTTATATGTGAAACATTTCCCTCCTGTACCTTTAGTCTATGAGTTACGGTCAATAATTTAAATCAATAATATGTGACATTTCGGTGATTTACACTTCTTAACCAAAAATTGATTATAAGTAAGCTGGATCTGGTTATGTTTTATGTTAGTTGGGTTCATTATAAACAATTTATATGCAAAACATTTTACTCCATTGCCTTTAGTTTATGAGTTACGATGGATTTAGTAATAAAAATCATCAATGCTAGACATTTCGGTGATTTACACCACTTAATCAAAAATTGATTACAATTAAGCTACATCTGGTTATGTTTTATGTTAGTTAGGTTCATTATTAACAATTTACATGCAAAATATTTGTCTCCATCGCCTTTAGTTTATGAGTTACGATCGATTTAGTTGCGAAAATCTTCAATTTTTGATATTTCGGTGATTTACACTTCTTAATCAAAAATTGATTATAATCAAGCTGGATCTGGTTATGTCTTATGATACTTTGATTCATTACAAACAATTTATATGCAAAACATTTGTCTCCATCGCCTTTAGTTTATGAGTTACGATCGATTTAGTTGCGAAAATCTTCAATTTTTGACATTTCGGTGATTTACATTTCTTAATCAAAAATTGATTACAACCAAGCTGGATCTGGTTATGTTTTATGTTACTTAGGTTCATTATAAACAATTTATATCCAAAAAACTTCTCTCCATCGCCTTTAGTTTATGAGTTACGATTGATTTAGTTGCGAAAATCATCAATTTTTGACATTTCGGTGATTTACACTTCTTAGTCAAAAATTGATTACAACTAAGCTGGATGTGGTTATGTTTTATGTTACTTAGGTTCATTATAAACAATTTATATCCAAAAAACTTCTCTCCATCGCCTTTAGTTTATGAGTTACGATCGATTTAGTTGCGAAAATCATCAATTTTTGACATTTCGGTGATTTACACTTCTTAATCGAAAATTAATTACAACTAAGCTGGGTCTGGTTATCTATTATTTTAGCTTGGTTCATTATTAACAATTTACATGCAAAACATTTGTCTCCATCGCCTTTAGCTTCTAAGTTACGATCGATCTAGTTGCAAAAATTACCAATCTTTGACATTTCGGTGATTTACACTTCTTAATCAAAAATTGATTATAACCAAGGTAGATCTGGTGATGTTTTATGTTAGCTTGGTTCATTACAAACAATTTATATGTGAAACATTTCCCTCCTTCACCTTTAGTTTATGAGTTACGATCGATTTAATTGCGAAAATCAATAATATTTGACATTTTGGTGATTTACACTTCTTAATCAAAAATTGATTATAAGTAAGCTGGATCTGGTTATGTTTTATGTTAGTTGGTTTCATTATAAACAATTTATATGCAAAACATTTCTCTCCATCGCCGTTAGTTTCAGAGTTGCGATCCATTTAGTTGCATAAATCACCAATCTTTGACATTTCGGTGATTTACACTTCTTAAACAAAAATTGATTACAACTAAGCTGGGTCTGGTTATCTATTATGTTAGCTTGGTTCATTATTAACAATTTACCTGCAAAACATTTGTCTCCATCGTTTTTAGCTTCAGAGTTACGATCGATCTAGTTGCGAAAATCATTAATATTTGACATTTCAGTGATTTACACTTCTTAATCAAAAATTGATTATAATCAAGGTAGATCTGGTGATATTTTATGTTAGCTTGGTTCATTACAAACAATTTATATGTGAAACATTTCCCTCCTACACCTTTAGTTTATGAGTTACGATCGATTTAGTTGCGAAAATCAATAATATTTGACATTTCGGTGATTTACATATCTTGATCAAAAATTGATTATAAGTAAGCTGGATCTGGTTATGTTTTATGTTAGTTGGGTTCATTATAAACAATTTACATGCAAAACATTTTACTCCATTGCCTTTAGTTTATGAGTTACGATCGATTTAGTAGTAAAAATCATGATTTCTTGACATTTCGGTGATTTACGCTTCTTAATAAAAAATTGATTACAACTAAGCTGGGTCCGGTTATCTATTATGCTAGCTTGGTTCATTATTAACAATTTACATGCAAAATATTTGTCTCCATCGCCTTTAGCTTCTGAGTTACGATCGATCTAGTTGCGAAAATCATTAATATTTGACATTTCAGTGATTTACACTTCTTAATCAAAAATTGATTATAACCAAGGTAGATCTGGTGATGTTTTATGTTAGCTTGGTTCATTACAAACAATTTATATGTATAACATTTCCCTCCTTCGCCTTTAGTTTATGAGTTACGATCGATTTAATTGCGAAAATCAATATTTGACATTTTGGTGATTTACACTTCTTAATCAAAAATTGATTATAAGTAAGCTGGATCTGATTATGTTTTATGTTAGTTGGGTTCATTATAAACAATTTATATGCAAAACATTTCTCTCCATCGCCGTTAGTTTCAGAGTTGCGATCCATGTGGTTGCAAAAATCACCAATCTTTGACATTTCGGTGATTTACACTTCTTAATCAAAAATTGATTACAACTAAGCCGCTCGAAAACCAGTTTATTGAAAGTGTACTTACAGTTAACTAAATTACTTAAATCATTAATTAAAAATTGGTGATACGGAGAAGTCGCTATATTCCGGAAGCCAGGGAGAAAATGATAGGGGTACCAGAAAACGTGGACGCCCTAAAAGTTCTAACACGACCCGAATGAAAATGGACGCAAAAACAACGCTGAGAAAGACAAGACGAGAACAATTAATGAAAACAGGTACGCCGAGAACTCTCTTTTCCGATATTCAAAACACACAACGAAATACAGACACATACATAGTAATATATGTACTTTTAATAACAAAGAGACTTTAATCTATAATTATATCCAACAGAAAGACATAGAACGGACACAAAATAGACAATACAAGAGGTGGATCACTGATACTTGCTAAACCAGCTGTTAACATAAAGAATGACATTTTCACAAAAGCAACCCTTTATGAATAGTACCATAATAGTAGGGGATTTCAACTTAAATCCGTCCAAGAAAAAACCAATGCAATCTTTTCTCTCCAACTCGAACTTTGTAAGACATAAAACAAGCCCCACATTTATCATAAGTACCAGCTAGTAAAGCTAAAATACAAATTCAAAAAAAGTTGAGAGTGATGAAGACGATTGCAGTACAAATAACGATATGGAAGCACGTCGCAATGTTAGTCTCGTGTTGGTCAAAGAAAATGCAGAAATTGATGAATTGCTAGCTTGTGCGATATATGTAGTAAGTAAAAAAGTTTGGAAATATCTTTTTGCCAAAATAAGATGTGCTTATAATTACGTCGAATTGTAGAAACGATTCGATCTCCAATTATGTTGTAAATACCCATTGCCGATTTTTTATAAAACATACACATAAAACCTAAACATTTAGCAACTTTTTTGACAAGCGAAGAGGGAAAAATATACAAGAAGTAGGCGATTATCGTTTTTCTTGCGTATTCTTGTATATTTCATTAAATGTCTATAAAGACAAGGTGTTTTTTTTTTATTAAATACTTAGTTTTTGAAATACAAAAGATCCTCTCCAGATCTTAGCAGTTGATGCAATAACATTAAAGAAAACTACCTTAATTAGCATGACCTTGCGGTATTGAACACTAGAGGGCGACACGTCATATCGATTTAATTTCAACAAAAAGCACCGATTTTAAAACAATCTTTTTTATTTAATTAATAATTATTTAATGCACAATTACATTTTAGACGATTCACCAAATTGAAATAGAATTAAAGCTTTAAATTAAAGTTTTAACCTCAACAACCAATCATAACCTGCCAAGTTTTGTTTACCTGTCACTTAACCTTTCAAAACCGTCAAATTAACCCAAAAAACATCGGAAGCAACCACAAAAATGAGTATCCTCCCATATTTATTATTAATATTACTCGAAATACACTCATCGAAAGCCTGCAAAGGTTGCTTATCAATCGACGAATACAACATCGACAAAATCATTCCCAAATTTAAAGCATCTCTAATCAAATTCGATATTGCTTATCCCTACGGAGATAAGCACGATGAATTCGTGAAATTCGCCGATGAAGTAACAAAAGTAAAGGAATTAATCGTTGGGGAAGTGGGAGTAAAAGATTATGGAGATAAAACAAATTTTGAATTGGCCAAAACGTACGGGATCAACACCAAGGAGGATCTTCCCAAAGTTAAGTTGTTTTTGGGTGATTTAAACGAAGAACCAATCCCGTTTATTAACGAATTCACCGTGGAGAATTTCAGGGATTTCATACGAGATAACACAAATTTGTATTTGGGGTTATCCGGTTGTGTGGAAACTTTTGATAAATTAGCCAAAGAATTTATGTTGAGCCAAGATAAAAATAATAAATATAATCAAGTTTTAGAGGTAGCCGAAAGTGTTGTGGGGAAAGAAAAGGTTTCTGCAAAGATTTATTTGCAATTTATGAAGAAGGTTATTGATAATGGAGTTGGGTTCGTTCAACAAGAACAGTTGAGGTTAAATAAGATTATTAAGGAAGGGAAGATTAATAGTAAGAAGAAAGAGGAGTTGGGGGAGAGATTAAACGTTTTGCATTCGTTTAAATTAGCTAAAGATGAACTTTAGAGGTTAAAAATTCTTTGACACATTCCAATTTTGATGTTCCTTTTTATTCTGTTTAAGTTTTTTTGTTGTGTGTAGATTTTTGGGATTAAATAAAATGATTTTTAATATTTGATTATATTATCATTTTATAATAACCCTTTATAACTTATATTTTAGTTCATATAATTCACAATTTGGAGCTAACTTAGCTAGTTTTAAGATTATTATCCTTAGAAAATGGCTTTGTTATTTAATATGAAGAGGTTTATTCAAAGAGGAGATGTAAAAACAAGCTTATGGTAGCAAAAATTACAAAATATCAGAAATCTGATCATTAATAGCAACAGCAGTACTTGTTTTATCTTTGCTACCAATATGTGGTACTAGTTAAATAAATAAAATGCTGTTCTAACTCAATAATGAGTGATGAAAATGGTATCCTTTTCCAAGGATAGTAGAATCTAACAGGACTGCTACATCCATTGTTGTGACAACCTGCCCGCACACTACGTCATACCATTTTCCACGCCCAGCTGTTGTTATGGTCTATGTTTGCTGTGTATTATTAGAGGTTATATCCTAGACGTATTCATTATATTTTTGAAGTTTTATGTTTTTAGACGTATTAATGTCTATCATATAACCTCTAAAAACACAGACAGTTACCAGGCGTGGCAAATAGTGTGACGTAGAGTGCGGGCAACCAACCCGTAGTGGACTACAAAAATATAATGGATGTAGCAGTCCTGTTAGATTCTACTGTCCTTGAGTCAATACTTAAAAA